AAGCTCATCTTTTGCCTTCTTGTTCTCGTAACTTGAGTTTCTTGCCCTGGGGGCAGCTCTACCCCTAAGACTTTATCCGCTAAACGATTTTCTTGGGATCCTCTTTGTGCCGAGGTGCTCGGCTTGGGCACTTGCTCTCAAGCACATCCCACATCCACCATCTGGCAAACACCACCCACTCAACCAGTTCGAAACCCTTTTTACCGATTCCCCCTCCAACTCCCTAGCTCAGACACAAATAAACGATAAAAGCGCAGTCGTTTGCCAACAACAGTAACAATCAGTAGCGAGAGGATACCACCCACTCAGGCCACATTTGTAAAATAGACTTACACTTACAACTTTTGATAAAAAATATCGCATAACTAGAAAACACATTAAGCAGTACTCTAAAACAGGGTGACTTATAATATATTTAAGTTTATAAGTATAAGTTTATATAATAAGTGGTTTTAATAGTTTGATCTAAAATATTTAATATTATATATTATAATCTTTCTATACTATCCGTTTATACAAACCGTCTTAGTATTGTTCAAAAACTGCGTTATTTAATGATTCTTTGCCAGTGATTTATTATAAAACATTAATCATGCAAATTAATTTATTACTCAGTGACGAGTAACTGTAGTCCATAATTTTGCGAGTGTATTACCCCACTAACTGAACCGGCAGCTCAAACCCGCAATCTGAAATCCAGGAGCGTCTGGCGCTCCGACCCACTCGCTGTTGTTCCGTCGCACTCGCTCGCCAGCTGTTCGTTCGTTGTTCCGTTCGCCGTTCGGTTCGCCCGCTCGTTGGTTGCGTTCGACTAACGCGGGAGTTGACTGGGCGCTCAGAACTCACAGGAAGTGTACCAATCGGAAAAATTCTATAAAGGAAAACCCGCTCGAGAGAGAGAGAGCATTAGAGAATCAACTCGGGGGGGGTGGAGACAGCGGAGAGAAAGCGAGAGCTAAAGTTGAAAGTTAAATTGAATTGAGGTGGGCCAAGTGTGGCCTGGAGGGTAGAGGGTAGCGCATAGGGTTGAAGGCCTCTGGGGTCCCTTCGGGTGGTTTGTAACTGGCGAGAGGTGGCGGGAATGAATTTGTTGGGCCATCAAAATGACTTTCAGCATGTGGAAGCCGCTGCTTAGCATGTTTCCTGACAGGCCACGTGCGGCTAAAGGAAAATAGAGAGAGATATACAGACAGAGACGGGTACATCCAGCGAGTGGGACAGCTAACGAGAAAGGTCCTTCTCTGTCTCGCTCGCCACTGTTTGGGGTACTGTGAAAATGAGGCGCAAATTTTGTGGCCGAGCAAACAGAACAGGAATAAAAAGGAAGAGGTTCAACAAATGGTTGCCAACCAAAACCGAAACCCCCAAAAAATAACAGGCCACCCCTCACACTATATAGTAATAATATAGCAGCAGAGGGGTAGCGAAGTGGTTAGTGTTATGTGGTATATTTAGAAGGAGTTTCTCTATTTGTTGTTAATGTAATTGCAAAATGAAATATTAATTATTTTTAATAACTATTTGTTTAAATAACTAAATATGATTTACTTACAAGTACTCAAGTTAAAATTCAAGATCATATTTTATAAACATATATTAAAGTTTATGTGATTAATATTAAACGTCACTCCGTGCTACATTTAATTTCCAATCTCCATTCAATTGAAACATTTTCCCATCTGTTACGGCTCTGTTAACATAATTTTCCCCCGGGCTTCTGTAATTTCATGGTGGTTTGTGGACTTTAACGGGTATCGGGTATCTCCTAGTCCAGCTCTTTCGACTGGGATCCCAGCATTGAGCAGCAAGTGGAACCCATAAAGCGCCAACATACACACACACATTGCTTTTCCATTTTCACCCCCCTTTCCGACCGGCTATCTCCCTCTCACACTTTGTAATGCTTGAAAATTATGTCAACGAGTTCTGTTGATTTTCCCCCATTTCGTTTGGCTTTTATTTCTGCCCACCCTCTCGTCCTTACCCATATTTCCCTTATTTTTGTTGTTCGCTTGCTCGGCTTTTTCCCCATTTTCCTCGACCGTAGGACCGGCGCTGGTTAATTACATTTTACAAAATTTGCTGTCAAGCAGTTAAGTTGGGTTAAGTCGAGCAAACGTCGACTGCGGCAGAACGACATTTTCTGCTTTCCCTGCTGTTGGTAATTTAATATTCGATTTTCGTAATTTTTATGCGCTGACCTTTTTGCAATTGTGGAATTTTCCTTTTTAATTATTTATGTGCGGTTGTTCGGTTTAGGGCTGGGGGTCCTTTTGGGGGGCGTGTCATCGTTTTTGTGTCCTCCACTCTGTTCTGCATCCGCAGATTAAAAGGAAAATCGTTTTGTATTTAATTATGCAGTCAGGTGATGGTAATTGGGGATTGTAATTCGGAATGTTCTCTGTTTCTCCGAGAGTGGGCGGCAATGTTTGCATAATGTTTACACGTTCTGCGTTCTGCAAATGGGTGGGTGGTACTCTCTGTTGACCATTTCATAGAGTAGCCCCTGAATATACATACCTTTTATGTACACCCACTGGTACATAAGTAAATCCCACATTTTGGTTAACTTTCCGTGTGTTTGGCGGGTGGAGAATTCAGCAAAAATATTTTTAAAAGCTCAAGTCAGAGCAGGCAAATACAGACGAAGGAAAAAATTGCATGCCGCCCAGGGACAAAGTGAGATGGCAGGGGCAGGGGCAGGGGGATGTGGAGCAGTGGAAGGGGAGGGTTCACTGAAAGGACACTAGAAATATAGGTGAATAACTCAAGAATTTTTGACACTCTATCCGTTTAAAACTATAACTTGTTTACTTTTATTGATCGACATTTTTTTATAAGAGTTAAAAATATACTTAAAACTTGTATTTTAAATTGTTAAAAAAAATTCCTAGACTTAATTCTAATTTTGTATATTATGAAAACGAGTTGGAAATAAATTTAAATATTGACATAGTTTCAGATCATTCAGACAAAACCTACTTTTACAAAATGTTTGAGTTTGGCAAGATTCCTTTTATAGCGAGTAAACGGCTCCCCTTACTAACGCAAAAGACAACCTAGCAAAAAAGGAAAATTGTGGCGCAAAATGTTACGCTTGCATTGAAACTGAGGGAAAATGTGGAGAGGGGGGTTTTGGGGGGTGGTGCACAGGAAAACTGAGGATTGGGTTTTTTGCGAAAGGAGGCAAAGGGGGAAAGAGGAGCCGAGGGAAAGCGAACATGTTGGCTCCTACAATGACAGCAGCCTGCAACAGCCGGCGAAGGACGTTGGGTGGGCAGAGGAGGGTGGGAGAAGTGGGCGAAATGATGGCAAAGGCATTAAGCTGCGCCCACACACACACACACTCACACACAGACAAGCAACGAGGGACATTATAGTCAGAAGGCGAAGGATGCGTTTTCCATGGAATACCCACACAATCACACACACACACTCGCAAACAGGACGACATACTTTCGCACAGAAGAAGAAGATGGAAAACTTGGCGCGACTTTCGACTACGTGAAGCTGTGAGCTCCAAAAGCGAAGAAAAACTCACACACACATACGTGCATAAGGACATATATCCCCCACACAAGCCCACACACACACACTTGCTCACACTCACACACAGGCGGAGAGTAAAAATGGCAACATAACTGTAGTGAAAATGTCAAGAGAGAAAAGATATTAAAACGTATTTGACTTCTGTGAGTTTTGGATGAAGCAATGTGGGCGAGGGAAGGGGGATGTGGGTGGCAGGGTGGCACAATGAAAAATATATAAAGAAGCCGCCACTCACACAAGCACATCCGCCCGCACACACACCCGCACACACACACACAGCGAAAGCGAGCTTATGACAAAAATAATAAAAATGGCTCAAGAAAAGAAAATGGCAAAAACGAACTGAAATAAAAAAGCAGCAGCGAAAAAAATAGGAAAAAAATAAAAAGCAAGAGAGAAAATACAAGTATAAAAATGAATTTTAGATGACAGGCAAAGCAGCTTGTTGGATAGGGCAAAACTCGGGGGGACTGGGTAAGGTTTGTCTTTGCAGTTAAGCAGACAAGTAAATGTTGTCCTTGTTGTTGTCCCTACACCACCCACATCCCCCGCCTTCAGGGGGGGCAGGGAAAACCAAAGGAGGAAAAATTGTGGAAAAGTTTTATGGGCAACAGCAGCAAAAATTGCAATATAGCCAAGGAGAAAGAGGGGGCTGTACTCTTGATGTCTGTGGAAAAGAGGATGCGGCAGTGACAAGGATAAAACATCAGAGATGGAATGAGAAAGGAGCAGAGATGAAGAACTGAAAAAGGAAAAATGGATGGGAAACCAATTTAAAGAGGAAACTGCTCTACAAGAGATATGAAAATGCATTTGGGAAATAGTTAAGTAACGGAAAGAAAGGTGCTCACTATTGACCTGCATTTTTATATCTTACGAAAATTTTTGCAAAAATGTTGTTCGAGTATAAAACCCTATTATTTGTATTTCTCTTCCTATACAAATAAATTCTGCATATATAAAGTATTTTCTAATTTTGCCCTTAAAAGGTAATGGTTAACATTTTTATCTGAGCTTAAACAAAAAATGCAATTGAACATAGATAATGCTTTAATCATCTAAATCTATTACAAAATACAAAAACTTTTTGTCAGAAAGAAAGTACAAGAAACAATAAGTAAGCAATAACTTTGTCCACTTCCTGTCAAATACTTTTGCAACGAAATGCCTTGCCTAATTCGCTATAATATTTCCAAAAACAGTTCCCAGAGGAAAAACTGTCAGCATATGTTTGGTAGGATTTACGGAATACCCCAAAGATGAGTCCACAAAGCCCCAAACGAAAACAGAGAAAGGGCGAGAGACAGGGCATAAAAAATAAATGAATAACATAAAAATAAATCATACGCCCCATCGGCCACCCAGTAAAAAGTGAGCCAATACCGTAACCATTACCCACGCTGCCAAATCACACTACCCCAACCCAGTGGGATGTCCTTCCCCCTATTTTCATGGCGCTAATAAATGCTTATCGAAGACGCATAAAGCGAGTAAATTCGCAGCCATTAAACGAGCATAAAACTCGATGCCGGGCCGAAACGAAATTGTGGGGCCGACAAATCAAAGTACGAGCCTCAGAGCCTCAGGTCCATCCGTTTTCCCCTTTCCCCTATTTCCTTGGCACGAAATAAAACCAGGCAACAATGAAACCCAAAGCGGCTCCCAAGCGATTTCGATGCGGGCATTCGTCGGTCGGACCAAGGAATTGGCCACCCACAGACCCAAAACCCAAACCCCCAGAGAACCTTCCTTGAGTCCCCACCCGCAGCACCTCCTGCGCCCCATTTCAACTCCCCCTGCCCGCGCCAACACTCGCTATATAACCATCTTACCCAACGTTGACAGCATACAAAGTAACTTAAATCGAAACAATAAAGCGGCAACTTTGTTCCAAGAAAAAATGCAAAAGAAAGCAAAATGAACACAGAAAAAACGTAGAAGAAAACGGAAAATGGAACGGAGGGAAGTGTGAGAAAATGGAAATAACGAAGTTAGATTTACACTTTTAGATTCTGATTTTTTATTTTATTTAAAAAAAATGATTTTAAATGGTCAAATATTTAACTTAAACGGATAAGACATAAGGAAACTATTACACTTTACTAGGAAATAAGATTACGTAACCTATTAAACATATATTTGAATTTTAACTAAAGCATTGGTAATTTTCCAGCAAACTTTGTCTTTTGATTGCTATTAATTTTTTATTTTATTATATTACTTGTACATAATTGTACTTTTTAATAATATCAATCCACTGTCATATTTGAAAATGGTTTATTCGTAAAATTTAAAAACCTCTCAGTTTCATAATGATTATTATAGGTAAGCTTCAGATATATAAAATAAAATAAAAGTAAGAGAAACCTTACAAATAATATTATTTCTGCCACAACAAAACAAAAATAATAGCTTTAAGAACTTCAATAAATAATTACAACCAGTTTGTAACTAAAATATACTGTGTAGTATATTTAAGGAAATCAGTTTAATAACATTTAAAATAATTATAGTTAAGAGTATTCAAAACACCATAAAACGTCACTGTTTAAGTTTCCGATCGAAATTCCCATACCAAGCGTGGGTATTATTACAAAAAACGTAAGAAAAGTCGTGAAGGAAAGTTCCCAAAGAAATTGAGCTGGAGAGAGAGGATGGCGAGGGGAAAAGGCGAAAAAAGAAATGTAGAAAAGCACAAATAAATGAATGAATAAAAGCGCCAAGGATAGCGAGGATACCATACAGGCAAAAGGGACTCAATGGGGGAAAATGGGAGGCAGGGGAACAGAGTTCCACAAAGAAATTACAAAATGTATGCAACAAAAAAAATAAAAAAGACGGTTGAAAAGACGGATGAAAGAGTGGGAAATATGGGGTTGGGAAGGTGCAGCAACGCTGGCAAAAATATTAATAAATCCCCGCTACTGAGGAACACGAAAACATTCTCATTCCCCCTCCCTTCCCGAACTTCACCTTTTCACCATGCGGCGTATGAGCAATATATGGTGAGAATCAGTACTGCCTGCACCGAGTTAAAAAAACAGCACAGCGGAAACTTTTATTTTTTAAAACATATAATTATACCCTTGCAGAGGGTATTATAATTTTGGTCAAAAGTGTGCAACGCAGTGAAGGAGACATCTCCGACCCTATAAAGTATATATATTCTTGATCAGGATCACCTCCTGAGTTGATATAGCCATGTCCGTCTGTCCGTCTGTCCGTCTGTCCGTCTGTCTGTCCGTCTGTCTGTTTCTACGCGAACTAGTCTCTCAGTTTTAAAGATATCGAATTGAAACTTTGCACACACCCTTCTTTCCTTTGCACGCAGTATATAAGTCGGAAAGGCCGGGATCGGCCGACTATATCCTATAGCTGCCATATAACTGATTGATCGGAAATGCCATAACTCTGCTGTTTGTTAGGTTAGGAAGTTGGGACTTTCTATGGGTTTTATATTTGGCCAATCAATCCGACGTACCAAATTTCATAAGGATCGGCCGACTATATCTTATAGCTGCCATATAACTGATTGATCGGAAATGCCATAACTTTGGTGTTTGTAAAGTTAGGAAGTTGGGATTTTCTATGGGTTTTATATTTGGCCAATCAATCCGACGTACCAAATTTCATAAGGATCGGCCGACTATATCTTATAGCTGCCATATAACTGATTGATCGGAAATGCCATAACTTTGGTGTTTGTAAAGTTAGGAAGTTGGGATTTTCTATGGGTTTTATATTTGGCCAATCAATCCGACGTACCAAATTTCATAAGGATCGGCCGACTATATCTTATAGCTGCCATATAACTGATTGATCGGAAATGCCATAACTTTGGTGTTTGTAAAGTTAGGAAGTTGGGATTTTCTATGGGTTTTATATTTGGCCAATCAATCAGACGTACCAAATTTCATAAGGATCGGCCGACTATATCTTATAGCTGCCATATAACTGATTGATCGGAAATGCCATAACTTTGGTGTTTGTTAAGTTAGGAAGTTGGGATTTTCTATGGGTTTTATTTTTGCCTAATCAATCCGACATATCAAATTTCATAAGGATCGGCCGACTATATTCTATAACTGCCATATAACTGAACGATTGGAAATGCCATAACTTTAGTGTTTTTTAAGTTAGGAAATTGGGATTTTTTATGAGTATTAAGAATGCATTATGAATGATTTTGGAGAATATAATTTGCAGAATATTCTGCAAGGGTATTTCAACTTCGGCTCCGCCCGAAGTTAGCTTTCCTTTCTTGTTTTTATTCTCATTCTTTTGTTTTCTGTTTTGTGCAGCTGAGGATCCAAACAATTGATTACAAGTTGAATTGAAAAAAATTATATTTTCACCGAAATCAAATTTTTGGGGTTACATTAAGATTTTTTACAAAACTGGCCATAAATTAAATTTTTGAGCTGTGAATGCCAATCGAATGAACATTTTAAAACGAGACTGGCATCCGAACATTTGACCATTATTTTTAAGGGCTTTGATCCAAAAACAGATACTGTTGTTCATTTGTTGACCGATTTTCGTGTTTTTCATATTTTTAATTTGCAAAAATAGATTTTAAAAAAAAATTTATAGCTGAGATTACCAATCAATTGGAATTCTTATAACGAAATAAGCTCAAGTTCATTTATTTAGGATTTTGGTAATAAAATCATTTTTTACGAGCGTTTATACCCTCTGTCCGTCTGTTACTATACCAGTTGCTGGCTCTTATTTATATAAACTATTTCTTGATGGTCCATTAAATTTCGGAAATATTTATTACCCTGATTTTTGATAAATTGTGGTTACTCCTAAGTCTCTGTAGTTTACAATCAATTTATTGAGATGTTTATCCCCCAATTGCTCTCAACTAATTATCCGCTTGTCCGCCCTTTCACACGCCGCCCACATACCGCAACTCCCATCCGGCCACACCCCCTCTTTCAGCCACAACCCACGACCCTTTGGAGACCACAGCTTCCCGGACGGAGTTGCCACTCGAGCGACCACTAATCATAACGATAACACCTAATCAACCGCAACTCGGCGGGCCATCCAGCGATTACGAATTCGTAGTCCGGACGGAATCCGGAATTCCAATCGAAATCCGTAACCGAATCCGTCCACACCCACCCACAAATCGAAGCCGAAAAAGGTTTCGGGATAAATTAAATGAAACGTTGATAAGGCGCAAAAGGGCGCACTAAACGATTAAATCGACTGAGCGAGCAAATGAGAGAGTGGCTTTCCCTGCCGCCTCCCGACCTCCGCCCCACCCCCCCGAGGTCACCCACCCACCCACACAACTACCGCTGACAACTGACCCGTGGACCTGACGGAGGGCGGACGTGCCCGACTGACTTTCGGCACAAGTGCGCAGCGATGGCGAAAAGTGAATTTTCCGCTCAGCGCTTGCTTGGCTGCCGTTCGTTGGGCCAGGGGTGAGCGGGCCGCGGGGTGAGCCGGAAAATTGCCAGCTGAATAATTTCCAGAGCCAACTGCAGCCGGGAGAAGAGTTTTTCGGGAGAACACGCAAGGCGAGCATTGCAAAAAGAAGGGTTTTTTCGAATTAGATACACCCTGCATTTTAACCTTCTATTAATCATTATGTTTTTTATTTGGCAAGTATCAACTTTTAAAAAACTTAAATATTTTTTACTAAATTAGATTTTGTAGTTCCTGACACCTGTATTTTCAATATACATATTTAGAAGTGCAATACATTTTCTTTGGAAAATAATACAATATGTGATTATTATTATATTTAATTAAATTCCTTAAACAATTTGGACAGCTTAGATTTATGGAAAACAAATAAAGTAAAACGAAACTGGAATATTAATTAAAAGATTAAATATACTTGTAGAAATATTAAATTGGTTTTCAGTATTGATTGAAATGTAATTTATCTTCTTACATACAACAACCATATGTATTTCCTATATGAATTGGTCTTGTACAAAAGGATAAATTGAGAATGGTTATAAGCCGATTATTTAATTTAATTACCTAAGTTCATTTTCATAACCAATATTTTAATACTAATAAACTAAGAGTTATTCTAGATTAGATCAGTTAGTATTTGCAATGTACTTAACACTATTTATTTACTTAATATTATTTAGTTTTATAATGCGTTAAGGGTGATCTTATTGCACTCAAATAACATGGCTTTCGATCATACCTCTGGGTTCCCCGATTTCCAGCCTTAACCAAACGCCATCGAACCTGGAGCCCCCGCAGTTGGGTGTCGTTCGTCCGGGTTCGTCTCAGTTCGCTTCGCCTCGGCTTTTACCTCGGTTCGATTGTTCGACTTGGTTCGCACGGACACAATGCTACTGAATATATATATACATATATCCAGAGTTTCACGTGCCATTGCGCATGTGGGAACGCCGGGGGCGGGGGGTTGTGGGTCTTGTCTTGCACTTTTGCCCGGACTCCCAATCGTCGATTTGATAATTCTGAGCGCCTGGTCCATCGGCAGCGTGTTGCGTTCGTGTGTGACGTTCTGTGCGGACCTCGGACCGATGAAGTGCTGGCGGGGGAGGGGGAGGGGGGATTTGTCTGGAAACGAGGGCTCGGAGTCCGGGACCCGGCATATCACCCGACACTCTAAGTGAGTCCTGTCTGTCCTGTGTGCTGGTAATTGCAGGACCCCAGCCTTGTTGTGCACACATTTGCTTAACTGGACTTGATTAGGTTTTCGAGGTTAGATACATTACGAATTATTCAGCGCACAGCGGGTGGTTCGACCACCCACCCGAAGACCCCCTCCCCCGGATTGGATCACCACTCTGCCGATCCAACCCCACTTGTTTGGGCTGCAGGCGAATGTTCGG